ATTCTGCTTTACAAAATATTATTCCCTTTTAGATATGTGTTTTAAACAAATTAGAATCTTATTGACATTTAATGAGAATGAAAGCCATGATTTGTTATATTTACTTGTGTCCCATTTTATGGTGTGATGAAAAATCCTTCTAGATATTATTTCTGCCCATTTTAAAAAGGGCATAGGAAAACTAGATGAGAATGATGGGAGTTCATTTTATTAAGAATTACAATATGATTTTTGTAGGCATGAGTCCAAATATTTATAAGGATTTACTCTAACTAAAGATCATAAAAAGTCAGACTGAAAGCTTCCTTTATGGATTCTGCTTGTGTATAACAAATTGATTAGCAGATTTTACTTATTTCCAACCATATTTCTGTTCTCACTGTGTTTGTTTCCTCAAGAAATGTTTTCAGTTTTTATACCCAAGAATATAAATTATAACAATTATTTGGATTTCCCCTCCATTCCTATATATGGGCCCTGGGAGGTTTTGCACATTTATTAAAATGAATTCCATCTCTGGCTGGCAGTCTGTTCAACCTTCTGTTCCTCTTTCTTACTGTCATTCTTCTACAAATAATTCCTTAAACTAGCTTTAAACAACTTTTTTAAAATAGGAAGGTTCTTACTTAAAAAAAGAGGGCAATGATACATATCTTCTTTGCAAAGCATTAAGATCATCGGATAGAAATTGCTATTATAAGCTAAGTATTATTATTATAAGAAGTTTCATAGAGGTAACTGTGTTAGTCTGTTTCAGCAAAACCAACAAGGAGTCCTGTGACACCTTAAAGACTAACATATTTATAAGGGCATAAGCTTTTGTGGGCTGCATCTCTCTTCATAGCCTCATTAAGCCTGATGCAACACTTCCATCTCTGTATGTAAGTATATCTCCCTGCCATCTCATTCTTCCACTTCATGTGTCTGACATGAGCTGCAGTCCATACATTTTTTAGTCTTTAAGGTGCCACAGGACTCCTCATTGTTTTTATTGTAAGAAGAATGCCCTTCATGGTAAACAGTAATCAAAATATAAGTCAGGTTCCTTTGTGGGAAAAATAAATAATGGAAGGGTCACAGGTACAGCTCCGCCATCAAACATGTTTGGATACCTCATTAAAATGAGCCAATTTGGGGGAAAAGCTGTCGAAGTAAATCTCTAAACAAAGCTTATAATCAAAAAAGGAATATTCATTGTTAAAGAGCTAAATTTACTAAAAATAAAAGTTTCTAAAATTAAAGAGAGAATAATAACAAACATGACCTCCAGTTATCAATTTATCATTTTAGCTAACTGCATGGTAATAAGCAAAAGAAACGGATGTCAGATAAATAGAAATGTTCTGAGTTTTATTCTTCTTTGGAGTCCAGGTAGTCCTGGTCCAATTTCTGTACTAAATTAGGGATGTTCATTTTTTATTCCAAAATGTTTATGACTTCACCAGAATAATAAAATACTTATTTAACTTTCCCTAAATTCACTCCCTTGAAAGCTATGGAATAGCCTTGAGAAGAACCAAACTGTTAAATTTCTTCAATTTTCAGTAAATATCAGGTCATAACTAATAATTAACAATATCTATAATAGGGATTTTATTTGGGACACAAAATTTCTATTTAAAGGATATTATTTTCCCCTCATAGTCGGTTCAGTTATTTTTCAAAATCTGAACTGCTACCTACTGCCTCATGCACATATTAACATATTCTTGTTTCACATCTTCTCCAGATGGACTCATTGCTTGTTATGGCATGGTCCACATCTAAAATTTAGGTCAGTCTAGTTACACCACCTACAGATGTCAGAAATTTTGCAATCTGTGTGATGCAGTTAGAGATCAACAATAACTCCCACTGAAGATATGCCCTGGAGAGGTGGATTACCTACAATGGCAAGGAAAAATATACAACTTTTGCCATCGTGGTGTCTACATTTCAGCACAACTGCAGTGCCATATCATGCTGCTTTCACCACTGTAATAAAGATATATCACATTTTAGAACATGCAGAGAATAAAGCAAAAAAGAATGGATCAAAAGATTGCTATCAAAAATAGTGAATATGGGAAAGGCCATCCATGCCAAAAGAGAAACATAATTCTATAGAATCTGCCTAACATGCTACACTATCTATGTCTACACTGCAATTAAAAACCCGTGACTGGCGCTCTCAGAGTTTGCAGTGTAGACCTTTGAGCTCAGGCTAGGAGAGGATATCAGAGCTCAGGTTCCAGCCCAAGTCCAAATACCTACACCACAATAAAACAGTACTTTAGCCTGAGCCCCTTAACTGGAATCAGCTGACACAGGCCAACTATGGGTTCCACTGCAATGTAGATGTAACTGCTATCAGGAGGCTTTGAACCTGGAACCTCTGGAGCTTAGTATAGGAGCCTCTACCCTTTGAGATAAAAACCAGCTGGCTCTTAGCCAACACTGCAGAGGTCCCTTGTTTTTTAATCTGTTGTGTAGGTGCCACTGCATGGGACAGTGAACTACACTAGGGCTACGTCTATACTTCTCCCTTCTTGCACAAAATCTTATGCAAATTAAGTGTGAATTAGCATATCCCCATGCTTCATTTGCATAATGAATTAGGGGCCATTTTTGAGCAAGAGGCTCTTGCACAAAAAGGAGCTGTGTAGATGGCTCCTTTTTGTGCAAAACCCCCCTCTTGCGCCAGAGCCGTTCTTCCTCATTTTTTCAGGAAGAACGGCTCTTGGGTAAAAGGGTTTTTTTGCGCAAAAAGGAGCCATCTACACAACTCCTTTTTGTACAAAAGCCTTTTGCACAAAAATGCCCCCTGATTAATTATGCTAATGAAGTGTGTTTCATTTGCATAGACTTGTGCAAGAATAGTGCAATATAGTCATGTGTGGGTTATATAGCCATACCCTAAAGACCTGATTATCTTTTCATTTACACTGATTTAAATCAGGAGCAACCTCACTGAAGCCAATGGAGCTACAGTAATGCAAAATTAATGTGAGAAGAAAAAACAAACCTTAAGACTCTCATTTATCACTGCATTATTCTAAAGATGGGGAGGGTTTAAATCCCTCTTTAGGCTTTTTATCCTCCAGAGAAGACCATGTGGATTGAAAGATCTACCCGTGACTTTCTTTTTGCAGGACTGAAAACCTACATCTTATATGTATTGTTCTTCCATAGACACTGCTCCTCTCTCCATCCGTTTTACTGACATTTTATAGAGATTTTCAGAAGGCTTTTTCTATGGAAACTGCTCCCTCTAATGTTTGTAATTAATGTACATGAGCTTGTAATAGAAGGAATTTAACACAGTTTATAGACAATCTGTAAATTTGTTTTCTATTAAATTGTATTATGCTTTGGTTACTTTACACCCTAGATACAGTGCAAAATAGTTATAGTCAGTCAACTGCTCTGTTTTTTCTCATATTGTATCTAATGGATAACTGTAAACAGAAGTTACTCTTTACTCCAACAGTTATTTCATGCTTCAGAATAGGATGGTGAAAAAAGCTCTGAAACAGCTGGCAATATATATTTTTGGGTGTATTTAGGAATTAATTCACTGAGTTCCAAATATAATTACAGACACACAGAATATTAGTGTTACTTCATCTCGTATGGAATTGTTTTTATCTCATTCACTAAATAAAAAATGTATCTAAGTTTATTTTAAGTCAATAAATTATCTATACCACTTTTTAAAAAGCATTTTCTGGAAAAAAATGAAATCTATATTACTAAGTCGGTCCTGAAAACTGTTTACTGCCCCCAAACAAACGTAACTAGATCACCACATTCACAACTGTGCATGATCTGAAGGTTTCCCAAAAGAAGGGACAAAAATTATAATACTTTACCTCAGGCTATGCTGGAGAGACTATTCATTTACTTGATGGAGGCTGATGCCTTGTGTCAGGGTAGGAAGTATTATGGAAACCTTTGTTGGAAAGGGGGGAATTCCTGGTGATCAGTGCGGTTAGCCATCAGCTGCTATCTTTAGTATTTGTCCTTCATAGTTTCTGTTAGAGATGTTTGGAACTGGAAGATAAGTGCCTTCTGTTAATATTTGATCAATCTAATTAAGTATGTAAAGTAAATACATCCACAACCTCATTCAGAAGGTAATTTTACAGATCTAACAGAAGAGTATTCTTGTGCCTAACTTAGTGCACTTGATGACTTGGTGTCCTCCAGAAATTATACTAGGAAAGCACAAACTTGTCCACAACTTTACTGAAGTATCTCGCACCCAGACAACATCCTTTGTCTCATCTCTCATCTTTCCTGGCTGTCTGTGCATCCAGAGTTATAATCATCCTGGTTTTACTTTTAGACATTAATGATAAATCACAACATAAGAGATAAATTACATCCAACATAAAAAGCATCAAATTTTGAGACACGCCCAGAGGAAAATTGCAGATCTGTACACAACTACATTTTATAAAATATAAAATCTGATAAATTTTGCACTTGGCACCTATTCCCACAATTTGGTCATATCAATTTCTCAAAAACCTATAAACTTTTGGGAATTCAAGGCATGGATCCTGGTTTTATCTTGTTTGCTCAGATCCATTGCAAATCAAATTGGGATGAATGTTTGCATTGTGGTACAGATCATTGAGTTTTTTGGCCTAATTTCAAAGTCAAACATCACAGGTTTGAAAGTTCAGTTGAAAGTCTGATATAAGTAGGGAGCGTGGAAAGGACCATTGCGTAAGCAAGAAAGAGTGAAATCACAGATGACACAATCTAGACCTAAACACACCACTGGTTTAAGTTGACTACTCTATTGATGACATTCAATCAGTATGAAAAACAGGGGAAACTCACACTCCCAGGGTGTTAAGATAATGTAGATATGTTGGAGAGTTGTTTTAAATTCTATTTCATGTTAGTTGCTTAAAAAACACCTTCAAATGGCTTTTTTTTCCTAAAAAAAGTGTGTGTGGGGGAGTTTCATTCCTTTTTTTTCTGGTTTTATATCTTGTATTTGACTTTAGGAATATCAGTTAAAGAACTGAAATGTACAAGACAGAGAGTCAGTGGAAGAGGTGGAGAATGAGATGTGTAGGATGCTGTTACATTTGAGCTGCATCCAAGGTATGCTGGTTGTATCTTTACAAAGTTTAAAAGGAAGAATGTAACAAACACTTTATAGTAAGCTATGGACCATGTTTGGTGTCACATAAACTTATCATGCAATCTATTTGAGCACATGTATAGGAAATAATGGCTCTTTGCAAGGGAAATAGCATTTAAGAGCAAAATTTCAGAATGTCTATGGTTTGATCTAAGGAAATACTCCTAAATTAGATGTTTGTACCTGCAGATTCAGTAGCTTCTAGGATTTTATTTTGATTTCTAATTTTTCAAATAATTATTTACTGCAAGTTAACCATTTACAGCAATCACTTATTTTAGAAGAACCGTGAATAAGCATATGCAGTTACAATACCAGTACCGTAAAGCAGTTTAAACTATATTTTAATATTGATTTCCCTAAGGGATAGATCCATTGTCATTCAAAGATTATTCATCCAGTGCTGTGATTTCACATCTCAACTACTGTAGATAGTTTGCAAAACACTTAGGGACCAGTTTTGTCACACATCAGATGAATGTATGGCTAATGCCGGAAAATATAAGTCAATGTGCGATCATTTTTCAGCAAGACAAATTACTGCTTCTTCACAGAATTTAAACGGGTCTGATTTATAGAGTAGAGCATGATGACACTTAGGAAGAACAATTGCAATACAGCCTAATGTTGTTAAGTTGCAATAGTTCCTTATATTAAGTTACCCTACATCAAACCATGTTAGATTCTAAGACACACTGTTCCAGATTCACACACAATGAAATAAAACTGTATATAAAAAAAACATTCTAAGGTAGGAGGATGAAAGACAAATATACTGTAGCATTCAAAAGAGTACTGATTGAATATTATATCTGAGTAAAAAAATGAATTCAGAATGGTCCTCTCATGTTCAACGAAGGAATATTTTTAAGAACAATTATAGTTTAAACTGAATGTGTTTTATTTAAATAATAAAGCAAGGCTGACCCCCCGTACTACTCCTGCTCTGCCGGCTCCAGCTGCCTTAGGCTGGCAGCCTCAGCATTTTGCTGTAAGTGGATGCCCTGCATATGGGTTGGGTGAGGACAGACAGCACACATATATCTACCTTTGAGATGCAATGAAGGCAATGGAGTGCTTGCTTTTTTTGGTTTTTGTTTTTGGTCTCTGCTGCTCCTGATTGGTTACTTCCAATGTCATAGAATATCTGTTTACCAGTCAAGCACAGGCACAGTCAAGGGACAGGGGGAGCCAAGGGAGCCCAGGGCTCCTGGCTATTGCTGTAGTAGTGATGGCAGTGCCTGGAAGCTCCAAGACACTTAAATCATAGCAGTGTTGGGACACAAGGCTGTTGACAGGGAGCAAAAAGGGCATCTGTCCCAGACCATTCCATCACCACCAGAGTGCTGGGTGGCTTGACCCAGGCAGTGCTGTAGGGCTGACTAGAGGAGGCCAGCTCCTGGCCCCAGCCATTCTGCCTGAGTATCTGAGTAAAAAAATGGGACCCATAGCCTGCTGTCCTACCTTGCCTAGGAGCCCAGCAGACCTGTCAGTCAGTCTGTCCTCTGGTACTTGAATGTTTGAGATTCTACTTTCTGATTCAGTGTTTTCTGACCAGAACATTTCATACAATGTATTAGGTTTGACAAATTTTCACTGAGCCACAGGCAGGGTTCCATCAGAAATGTTGCTCTCATAATTTTCTGCCAGCTTACTTGGTGGAGAGCCTGGATTTCCAAGGTAAGCAATTCTGTAGCAGTGTTACCATGTCCCCAAGACTAAAAGAGTCCCTGCTTCTAGGCGAGCCACGCAATATGGACTGCTATTCACTGAGGAGCAGCATTGAAATGAACTAGAATCATGACAATTTCAGTCAGCAGTCACAAAGGGTATGCTTACACTACATGCTTATTTTGAAATATGCTATTTTGGAATAAAAACTCCTGAAAGAGCTCTTTTGAAACAGTGCATCCACACTACAAATGCCCATCGATATAGTGCAGATCTACATCCAAATACCTCCTCCATACTGAGTGGAGGCTGAATCACATTTAAAGTTCCCCGGAAGCACTTCAGGCAGGGCATCAGGACAGCAGTCACTTCATAGAGCTGCTGCCTGAGGCTAGACGAAGCTCGTGCTTAAAGGGACCCCCACGCCTGTACCATCGTGGCTCAGGAGCCTCTCCTTTGCCTCCCTCCCAGCGTGATAGCAAAGCCTTTTCACTGCCTGCGCTGGTTGCCCTTGCAGACACCATAGCAGTCCTAGTCCTGGAGCTGCAACTGCTCCCAAGCAGTTGATGGCTCTTAGACCTCATGCCATACCTCCTTCTGCAGGCTGCCCTCATGGACCCGCAGCTCATTGCAGGACCCTACCTCTCCTTTTTCCAGGTGCTGTTTATGCAGCATGACACCTCCCAACCTTCCCTGTACACCGTGCACCACTGCTTTTGGCAACTGGACATCAGCTCCAACTGGTGGGACCGCATCGTCATGGAGTGGTGAGATGACCAGCAATGGCTCCAGAATATTTGCTTCAGAAGGACACCTTCATGGAGCTGTGTGAGTGGCTCACCCCATCCCCATGTGATGGGACACCCATATTCAACCACCTAGCCCCCTCCAGAAATGGGTCATCATCACACTGTAGAAGCTTGTCACACCAGACAGCTACTGTTCTGTCAGGAACCCATTCAGCATAGGGAGATTGACCATTGGGGTTGTGGTCATCCAGGTATGGTGCTCTCATGCTATTGTCCCAAGAGGAATCTGGACCAAAGCAAAGAACATTTCAATGTCAAGTTGCACTGTGGTGGAGGGAGACTTACAGCATCTGAAAGGAAGTTTCCGCTGCCTCCTCATCTATCTGGACCTCAATGAGTAGAATGTCCCCAAGTGGTGGCATCCTGTTGCATCCTGCACAATATATATGAGAACAAGGTGGAGACATTCCTACCAGTTTGGGGGGCAGAGGCCTAACAGCTCAGAAGAGACTTTGAGCAGCCATGCACTGCCGTCATCCAGCAGGCCCATCAGGAGGGAGGAGGGCTGTGTGCATCCAAGTGGCTCTGAGGGAGAATTTCACACAAGGACTCCAGTGACACTCTCCCCCAGTCCTCCCCACAAGAGGCCTGTGCATTGCCCTATTGTGCCTTTACTCCCTCACCTCTCCCTTCCCCTGCATCCCTTCTCCCTTTTCCCCTTCTCCATTTCCTCTGTTGACACAATAAAGCAGACCTTTCATTCTGAACCAATAAACTCTTTTTTTGTTTGAGGTAAATGTAACTAAGGGGGCATGGAAATGAAGAGGGAAAAGGGGAGGAGAGGCCAAGGATTGGTCTGGGTGCAGGTGGTCCCACCGCCACATGTGCTGGTCCCTTAGTGAACACAGAGTGGGCTGTGGGGAGAAGCTGGAGGAGCAGGAGCTGGGGCAGGAGTGGCCAGCAGCCGGCTGACAGAAGTGTTGTAAGCTGCACACATGATTCGGGCCTGCTGTAGGAGCTCCTGCCAGGTGGTGCAGCACAGTTCCATGTCCATGTCAAGAGACTGTTAGAGGCCACAAAGGGTGGTGATATGCTCCCACTCCAGCTCCTCGTGGGCTTGTCTGCAGCCATGGCTCCTACAGGGATAGGAAGCTGGTGCAGGAAGTGTTCCAGGCACCTCACTTGTAACTGGTTCAGCTGTGAAGAACAAAGAGAAGGGCAGCCATTCCAGGAGATAACCTGGAGCCTGAAGCCTAGCCCCCATCTCTGAGGTGACTAAGGAAGGTCTCAGGTCCCACGGAGGTGATGTGCTTGGAGCAAGATCATCAGTGGCCTAGACAGTGGGCCTCTAACTACAGGGGCACAGATGTCCCCAGGGGGAGCCTCGCTACCCCCAAGTTCCAGGGACAAGCAGGCATGGGAAGGTGCCAGCCAGGTCAGAAACCTGCAGGTGGGAAGGGGACAACAGGGCAGCTTGACTTCTTTCTGTGCCATGCACACGTGTGGAGTGGTAGTGGTAGCATCCTGCAAGGAGAGAATGTGTATCCCTGCCCGCTGGAGGTGGGGAAGAGTGTGGGACACAGGTGTTTGATTGGCAGCTGCCACTTGCTCGGGAGGATGCTACTGGAGTGCCTTCTACTTCCTTCCCCTACCAGCAGTCTCCCCTAGCAGGAGCTTAGTGTCCTCTGCTTTGCCGTGTTTTCCTGAGAACACATGCTGCCCCGAGAGAGTGGGCCTGACCATGTGCCATATGTGTCATTGCAGTGTGTGTGTGTCCATGAACCCAGCCTCCTTAGTGGTGGCTTGTGGTGGGAGGGTGTCCCACCATGGTGTTGGGAATAAGGCAGGTCTGTGCAGGGACTCCAAAAACAAGAGCACAAGAGTCCCCTATAAAAGTGGTGAGGAGTCCTGTGGCACCTTATATACTAACTTAAGTGTTGGAGTATAAGCTTTCGTGGGCAAAGACTTACTTTGTCAGATGCAACCTCTATGGAAGCCTCCTGGGGCTGAGTGCTCCAAACCGGCACTCTACATGCAGCCACATGCACAGGCTGCATGCTGCCCAGGCTGAGAAGGCCGAGCAAGGAGCACGGAGCCCCTCACCACCTGCTACCCCCTCCCCCGGGTGTGTCTAGGGACAGTCATGGAGCTCACCAGGTTGGCTTTCCCCTGCATCATCCGATCCCCGGGCAACATCCTGGGAGGGTGATAATGACTGGCTGGTGGGCACTGTGTATCCCAAGGCCTGCTCCTCCATCTCCTCATCACCAGGCCTGCCCTCTGGGAGAGTAACAAGAGGTATTTCCTTGCCAGAATCCACAGCCAGTGGGGGAGAAGGGACTGATCCCCCTCCCAGGATATGATGGAGCTGATCAAAGTACTGGCAGTTCTGGAATGCCTCACCTGAGTGGGAGCAGCACTCCCTGACCTTGGTATCAGCCTGCCTCAGCTCCTTCATCTTCATCCGCACCTGCTCCTGTGTGCAGAAGTGTCCCCTCGGCCTCAGGCTGTCGGCCATCCAGCCATAAATGTCCACATTC